AAATATTTCAAAAATGTACATTCTCTCTTATATATCTTCAAGATTGTATTCTAAGGAAATAAATAAGTGTGCATGTATGATTTAACTATGAGAACAGCCATGGCAACATAGTTTGTATTTTGTAATAGTAAAAATCTGAAAAAAAGCCAAAAATGGTTTTAAAATGCAATGGAATAGTATACAGTTACTATAATTATTTTATAATTAAATATTTGATAGTGTGGGAAAAGGTTCAAACAAAGAATGTTTAATACTATGTTACAAAGCACTATGTACAGAATGGTATATTTTAATGAAATATTTATAAAAAACTGCATAGATAAGTATATAGGTGTACACTCATGTAAGACTAGCATGGCAGATGCCAAAAATGTTGACAATGGCTATTTTGAGTTGGAAGATTATTTTCTTCTTTTTGCCTTATGTGCTTAGTATAAAGTTTTCTTAGTGAAAATGCATTCTTTTTAAAATTTTCTGGCAGTACTGGAGTTTGAAATTAGTGCTTTGCATTTGCTAGGCAGGTGCTCTACTGCTTGAGCCATGCCTCAAGACTTTTTTTCCTCTGGTTATTTTTGAGATAGAGTCTCCCTTCTTGCCTGGATAGCCTGGACTGCAATCCCATTCATGCTTCCCACTGTAGCTAGGATAACAGGTGTGTGTCACCATGCCCAGTTTTTTTCTGTTGAGATCGGGTCTCTTGAACTTTTTGCCCAGGCTAGCTTCCAACCACAATCATCCTGAGCTCAGTCTTCTAAGTAGCTAGGATTACAGGTACCACTGGCACTGAAGTGCTCTCTTTTTTAAAAAGAAAAAATCCAATATACTTCATAGCATTCAACAAACTCGTTATGTTTCTACATTTCTTTTCTGTAGTTTCTAATTTTTATTTGTTCCTCTGCCCTCAAGATCTGTAAGTCTTCTTAGAAAATACTTAGCCTAACTAAAAAAAAAATGCAAATTCATCTATGAAAGTTTGTGAGAAGCTGAAGGGAACATTTGATGACCCCATCCCACCATCCAGGGCTCTGCTCAGAAAGTCCTGAAAGCACAGATTTTAACCTGGCTGAGGTCCAATCCTTGGATCCCATGGCTTGTTATATCAATCCTAGGTGATTTTTGAGAGTGAAAGGTGATGCTACTAATAATGACTTTGGAAAGTAGGGACAAACCCTGACTTTTTCCTGACCTGGGCAAAACAGCACATGAGGCCGTGATGGCCATTGGAAGTTTATAGTCATAGCTCAGATGCTGGAGGAAGTAAGGAGCTGTCCAATGTTCTGATTTCACAGATGAGGAAACCAGGGACTGGTTTCCGCAGGGGAAGATATGTTGTTCAAATATAGCTAAGCATAGTAGTTATGAAAATGGGTTTTTTGAAGCTTAACTCAAAACACTGTTGGCATTTGGGGAAGGGAAGGAGTGATCCATCTTGAGTTCCATGACAGGGAGTGAGTGGAACTTCAAGATTCTCTCCTGAATCTCCACAGAAAGGGTGAAATCAAAACCCACTCATGTCTTTTGTATCTTAGTTTGAAAAAAATATCTTGAGACCAGCTACAGGAGATGACACAATCTCCTTCAATCTTCTTCTTATCCTGAATCTTGGCTCATTTTCTTATTTGCTCAACAATTCTTTGTGCAACACCATGAGGTATATAAAAGTCCTGTTGCACATAGTGCTATTGGTAGATATACCAGATCTTGTAAGCCATGACCAAGAAATGACTAAAGATATTTTTATACATTATGTGGAATCTTGTGCTCTCTAATTAACTTCTTCTCTTTTTCTTTTTTTGGCAGTACTGGGGTTTGAACTCAGGGCCTCACACTTGCTAACCAGGCACTTTATCACTTGAGCCGTAACTCCAGCCTCTTTAATTCACTTGTAAAGGTAGAGAGGCGACATGCTCTCATTCATGTGTCCTCTATTGTTCAAACAATATGAAGCCTTTTCTCCCCTTCATAAGTTGAAGATTATGATCATTGCTTCTGTTTCCATTTTTCCTTTTAGAAAACATACTTTTATGGTCCAAATTTGTTCCAAGCAGTACAGTAGAAGCAGTGGGAAGAAAGAAGGTTTTAGAGTAATAAATACTATATGTACTTAAAAAATCTAAGATGAAAATTTATAATTAAAACATGAATTTTTTGATAAAATGCATGCTTTAAGATCGCCGAAATCAGAATTTATCTTACTATTAATGAAATCTTAAAACCTCCAGTTCTTTCCAGGGAGGTTTGTGGTTGCTTCTACTGGTCACCAGGTGGCAATATCAACTAGTACCACTTTAATTAAACTCTTTGCCTAAGGCTTGTTTCAGACCAATTTCAGAGCACGAAGTGAATTAAGCTGGCAGTCCTATTCAGATTCTATTTGGGAGTTCAAGTCTTGGGGAATTCTCTTCTTGCATGCAAGCAATACCAGTGTAGGCATTTGGATTTTTTCATTGTTCTGTGTACTGGGTGGTTTCTTCCTATTCATCCTTATCCAGTTAGCCCCACTTACTCTGTGTGTGTGCGTGTGTGTGTGTGTGCTTTGTCTTAGATTCCTCATATTGGGTGATTTTTCTTTCTGAGTGCTGCATAGAAAATAGTCCAGCTGTCAGTTGATGGCTCCTTAGAGTCAAGGAAATATGGTAGCTGGCTTTTGAGTTCTATGACCTTAGCTTGACCTCATGGAGGCTCAGGTTTCTCTTTGTAAGTGGGATATTAACATTTCTCTAAGGATGCAATAAATGGATACACAGAACCAAAGAGAAGCTTGTACTGATTCTATTCTCTGCTTCTGGAATTCTATGATTTGAGATCCTTATTTTTACATTGCTAAAGCTTTAGGGCTGTTTCCTACTTAACTTTTCCCCACAGTCTCTTCCCTTTGCCCCTCATTTCATTGAAAGATCACAAAGAAGAGGATGAAGATAGACAGGATGGTCTTCTTCATGTGAGACACAGGGAAACCAAGTCCCAGGGATTCTGGGCAGAGGCAAGAACATGAATGACAAGCTTTGGTGCCAGAGTGGAGTCTTAGGTCCTCTGCTGACAGTTTGATTTGGGGTAGGCTTCTGAAATAATTATCTGTGTCTTCTTCCATTAGGTATAAAACAAGATTCATAGGACTCTATTTATTCTTTCAGTCAATGTGTGTTAACAGCTTAGAAACAGTGCCTTGTACTCAGCAGATACTCAGTTGGCTTTACTTATTATATATTCTCTTCTCAGCAGTGACCAATCCCCCAGAGAGGTCTCAGAGCGAGTCTCTGTGACAGAGGGAGAAGAGTGAGTGTTTTCTGATGTGCCTTACAGTCCCTCACTGCCAGGGAAGACATGCAGATATTAGGTGGTGCCTGGTTGGACCACAGATGGACAAATCCCATTTCCATCCAGAATGCTACCCTCTGCCTCTCCTGGAAGAACCTCTGGTCAGAGAAATCAATCTCAGACATGCTGTGCCTCCCATACGTCCACTCTTGCTCCAAGTGGCACCAGGTGGCTACAGATGAGATGGATGTGTATACTATTAAATGAAGCACACTAGAAACTATAGCCTGTAGGAGTTAGGTCAGTAGTGAAGCAAGTATATCTTTGGCAAGAATGAAAAAAAGAGTTTTATCTAGCTTTGTACACATACACAGGCTAGTTGAGAAGATTCATTGCAAAGCCACCCTGTTCTTTATCATTGTCATTGTCCTAGTTCCTTCTCCATAGTGTCCAGGAAAGAAAAATGCATTTAATTTAATTATAGACCTTAAGTCTATAACTAGATTATGAATAAGAAAAGCATACCTGCTGTTTTGTGGTGCATCAAGTGAGGCAAAATGTTTCTTTTTGTTCTGTTTGGTTAGTACATAGATTCAACACATTTCAAATTGGGAATTTCAGACAAAGCTATTATCTTTGGAGTTTGCAGGCTATAGGTAGTTATCAAAGAAACTCACTGGGAATGGTGCATGTGCACAGAAGTGTGAATTCTCCAAACTGAGTAAAGCAGAATCTCCCAGGCAGCTGAGCAAACTCGCAAAAGAATTGCTCACTGGAGCCTTACAGACTGTTGGATCAAACTCCTGAAATTTGCTTGCAAATTCCCTGCTGTTCTTGCTCCAGGCTTCTGCAGATGCCAAACACCTCTTGTGCTCAGTCAAGGAAGGTCTGTCAGCTTTCATCAGTGTAAAAGAGCAGCCCAGTTAAGTAGGGACAGTGCCCTGTTACTCACTCCCATTTTACAGTTCAGAGCTGGGATAGGAGAAGGAAATGGTAAAAATACATCAATATGGCAATGGCTGCTATATTGCCATATTGAACATTTCACCTAATTAAGGCATTGCTCTGAAACCTTTCATAATAAACTGTGATGGACATACATTCATTATCTTCATTGTACGAAAAGGAATTCATGCTCAGAGAGGTTATTTGCTTATCAAAGGTCACATAGCAAGGAAGTAGTAAAGGTGGAATTTAAACCTGACTCAATATGCACAACTTATCTTCTTCCACTATACCTAGATTAGGAAGGAGGGTGGTTGGGGCCAGGAGACAAATGGGAAAAATGGATAATAGATAATGTCTAAGATCTATGAAAGGCAATGTTTATCACTTGTGTTTACATCAGGTTTTTGGGTGTCCTCAGGTATCATGTTACAGGATTACAACTGATGTTAATTCATCTAAAAGCAAGGGGAAAGGGTTGTTAATGGCACTTGGCTTAATAACCTCAAAGCGGAGGGAACTTTTGATGCATGCTGAGTTAAGGACTCTGTTCTTTTAGGTAACTTTTCCTTAAAGTGCAAAGCTGAGGTTCTCTGTCTAAACAGCATTTCCTTTTGTGGCCTTCAGTCTACTCATGATTTTGAATGAGAACAAGAAAAGGCAGTACCAAATCAAACCAAACCAACAACAAACAACAAAGACATCAAAACCACAGCCCTTGGGTACTCTCTCTACTACCATGAACATTTATAATAATTCATTTCAGAAAAAGAGCCACTTTGGAGACTCAGCTCTACCTTGTGCTCCAGGCTGGAGTCTTTAAACATCAGTGAGAATGGCTTGATATGCTCTCTTCTCAATTTATCGCCACTCCGCAAGTCGATGGTATGTTCTATTCTCTTGTTAATTTCCTCAGGCCCAGATTGGACATGCAAAGCTTGTGCAAGATGGTTTGGAAGCAGATTTATTGAATTTCTTGTTAGGGCAGCCAGAGTCTAGAGGGAAAGCACATGCAAACACAATAAACCTGCTAGTCCCCTTTGAATCAAAAAGAAATGCAATGTTTTTAGATCATGTTGCATTGCAAATAGTAATAGCATTCCATGCAGTTGTATCAGTGAAACATATGACATTTGATCAGTTAGCATCTGGTTCAGAGAAACATAAAATGGCAGAATATTACATTCAGAGGAGCACTTCTCTTTCCTCTATGCAGGTGTGCTGAATTCCTTTGGTTGAGGCATTGGGAGAACTGTTGCCTTAGAAATATTAATTGTGACCCTTTCTCTAACCAGGCATATTCCAGGTATGAGAGAAAGAGAACCAAAGAAATAACAGAAAGTCAATACAGCTAAAAGGCCCACAAAAGTCACCATCTCCCACCAAGTAGATTCCACATTTTCATGTGGTCTTTCATATAATGGTGGTGAGGGGACTTGGGGGCATCTCATGGCTTGCATTTTCTGTTTAAGCATTTTTCAGACTGACAGTCAAATGTGCCAGGCTCTGCTCCTTAAACTTGATAAATAATTTTAAATATTTATACTTCACAAATATGTCTCTTCCCAGCATAGACCATTATATATCTATATGTTTATATAGATATATACATACTATTTCCTATGGGCAAAAAAATGCAAGCAATTCCCGCCTCCTGCATTTCCCAGGGTCACAGAGCAGGTGGTTAGGAAAGGAACCATCAGCATGGCTGGTAATAGGATGTGGACACATGGATGCAGAGATTGCACTGGTTCATGAGGACACTCAGGTTTTGTTGAGAGATCTTTTCCCTGGTGATTTAGCAGCCAGTGATAGAACTAACTGGCTGGCTCTAGCCAAATGCAGTGCTCACACATGGCTCCATTTTGAGATTATTTCTTTGAAAAACAAAAAACAAACAATGAATTGGACCTGAATAGATATATAGCCCACAACCCCAGTGATTTCCTGGAGGAGAAGTAGAGGATGGTGCACCTGTATAGTGAGGAAATGAAAGCTCTCTACCTGGGTGCACTCTCACTACATCTGCTTTGCTCTGCTAACCTCTCAGTGTGGCTATGTTTAGAACACAGGGAAGACTGAGATAAGATCATGGAAGCAACTGTGGCAGCATGTAGAAGTGATGAAGGACCTTGGAGATCCTCTCACTCCAGGCTTTCATGTATCCACAACTTCAGAGAGGGTTTGCTCAAGAGCTATGTGCTCACTGCAAGCTCGATCTGTCCCACTGACACAAGGGCCAGAGCTGCAGTCAGGAGCTTTGATCTCTTTGAGGTCATCCAGCCCATGCAATCAAGATTTTTCTGTAGTATTGTTCGAACTTCCTTTTAACTTTCTTGGGACTTGTAATCTAAATTTGATGTCTTTAAAGAATTCTATAGCAAAAATTAACTGAAACCTTCTTCTCCAGGCCCAGGATAAAGAATGGGACTGAATGTCCCAACATGAAAAAGCAAAATATATGCTCTTAGGACACCAAAGCACTTGATTTTTGGCTCTGAGCACTAAGGAGACAACTAGAGAGAGAAAAAAATAGATGTTAGGAGGAGGTATGGCAAGATGAGAAGCAAGAAGGCTGGAGCGAAGAAAAGGAAGCAGGGACCAATGTTGCAGAAAATTGAACTGCAGGATCCCAGCAGGGCCAGAGGGCTCGAGCCTCTGGGAACAAATGTGAGTATGCAGCATCCCAGAAAGCAGAGGAAGCAGGACTGCTGGCCACTCAGTAGATTTCCCATTGGGTAGAGATTCTTTCACATGAAATGGAAAATGGCAAAACTTACTTTTCTACCTTGGAGGGAACGTGGAAAGGGCACTTGTATGGATGTGCATTCTGGCTTAGGGATACTGGGATGCTCTCTGGAAGAGCATAGAGCTGTTGTCTAACAGCAAAAGAGAAAATCCGCTGCAGTATTTATGTACATTCAAGTTACATATCTCTACTACTTCCTGTAATTTTACTTATTTTTTTACAGTTTTCTTTTTTTCAATTAAATTGAGCTTATCCACTTTACCAATCCCTCATGGCTTCAGTGGTTCTAAGACTTTTGAGAATTTCAAAATCTATTTTTGGCACTGATTTATATAAATTACAGTAGTGGCAGCAGCTCTATAGCAGCAATGACCACAATGGCAGCTCCCCCAAATGACTATTATTTCATAAAAGGAAGGTAATTTTTTTCATCAAGAATGGCACAATTGCCAAATAAGAGGTAATCTTTCATATTGAGTGTATTTATTTGAATGAATACATCTCTAGTTTGCCTTTATTTTTCTTATCTGGACTGAGGTGGACTGCTGAAAATGTCTTCACAGACTGATGTTGGTCTGTAGGAGACATTTATAAACAAGGATAGATGTTGCTTCCTGGTTGCCTGTGCTTTATGACAGGTATCCATATGGAGAAGGAGCCTGCAACCATTAGCTACTTCTGTAGGACAGAGACCAATGAAATCTTTCAGCGTGCCCCTCCTCCTCACCCCATTTTGCTGGCTATCAGTGTGGTTGCTTCAAATGAGAATGAATTTAGAATCATATCTCTTTCCTTCCTTATAGCCACTGGGTTATAGTTCCTAGCCGAAAAGGAGACTCTCACCAAATTGTCAATGATAGTGTAGTGGAGATATCTCTAAGGGGTCAAGTGACTATTTTTATTCCTCATAACTATATTCCTAAAATTTTATGAATGCAGTCAATTCTCAGTGATTTTTTTCCCTAGCCATTTGCTCTGTTAATTTCATATGACAATAAATTATATGTGCTGTTTGACCAGCAAACTTTCTAGCATCCACCTCATTCCTTCAGGACACATATGCTCAAGGGAAGACCAGCAGCAACTCAAGAGAGCAAGCAAATTGAACTCAGGAAGGGATATTGGGGAAACACCACTGCAAGGATATATGATGTTGGGGCAACCATGGCTTGGGACTGCCTGTGCTGCCCTACTGTTTATCAGTAAAGACTAAGATTTGTCTGTATTCACCTTCATGGGATTAATGCTGTCAACACTAGAAATCCAGACACCAATATCTTCACAGTGATTCATTTGTAAACAGCAGTGGGGACATTTATACCATGTCTTATTTGCCTATATAGAGTCACACTGGAATGAGCTATTTTTAATAGGATAGAACTTTCCCTTTTTAAGATTTACAGCATCAGTGAGCTAGATTGGTATCATGCCAAAAAATAGCTTAAGCTTTCAAATACGATTCCAGACTTAAATTGATCTCCAAACTTGAGTTGGTTCATTCACATAGAATTGGCTACAGCATAAGAAAAACAAGTGAGTGAAATGGAAGAAAATGGGAAATTACACAAGAATATTTGACTATAATATAATATATACATGCACAATTAAATACACGCATTAAATATATGTTTCCATTTGTAATCAAGTATATATATTATACATATAATATATATACTTATTTTAGACGGTGTTTTTAGATATTTGGGAACTTGCATTTGCAGTACTAATTTTCTAAATATGTTATGTTTGTATTTTTATTATAAGGTGACAAATATTGTTATGATAATCTTATAAAAAATCATGCTACTTATTTACTTTAGCTGGTATTTTAGATATTTGGGAGGTCAGAATGGAGCAGTAGAAATATCAAAGTTTTTGGCTTTGATGGCCTCTCATGATGGAGTTTCTTGAAAACAGAAATGTTTTAATTCCCAGATTTATTCTAGCTGAGTGCCACACTCTCCTCAGGCATTTCAGAAATCACTATGCCCCTCACAGCTGTGTGTCAGAAACACCAAGGCCAAGATGAGAACCACAGTCCTTTCTGTAGCCCAGCTGCTGAAGACAGAGTCTTGCTTGAGAGTCTGGGAGCTATAGTGAAAATTGCAGAGGGTATGGTAGTCCTGAGTAAGCTGCATTGAATGGAATGGGAAGGTCATGACCTTCCTCTTAATTTCATCATTTGCTTTATGGCATGAAGATGTTTCTTTGGGATTCTACTTTTATCTATGTACCCAACAAAGCCCCATTTTTCTTGCAGGCCCTGCTACTTTGTGGATGGCCATATGTTTTGATATTCATCAATCAGTTTGGCAGAGTGAATAAATCCTTCCTAATAAGATTTCAGTTGGCAAGTATACTAGCAGACACATTTAGATTTGTTGAGTCAAAAATAGTTTAGTGCTTATGGATCACCACACCCTCCTCAACATCTTTGTAGATACCATGAATCAGCCCACACAGTTTCAGTGCTCTGTTTTGGTACTAGATCCTCCTAATTCACTCTTTCTAAAAAATGTGTGAAACACAAGAATGATGGAAGGTTTCATTATAAAATGGTTCTGTGCACCAGTCAGTTTAGCAAATGTAGATCCACTATTTTCTTACTGCCACTTCTCCTTTCCAGTCTTCTTAGGATAAGGAACGTGGTTGCTGGTTTGTTTCTTTGTTACCAGTGCCTATGTCAATGTCTGATATTTTGTAGCCACTCAAGTACATGTTTATTGAATCAACAAATTCTTACAACCTCCTATTGGAATCTCAGTCACATTACTCAGATAAAGGCGTTGATGAGTTCTGCAGAAGTGACTTTTAAACTCTGAAGTGCCCTAACTTTCTTAACCCCAACCCCCCTTTTACTGAGTTTTTGATACATGTTTCATGGAATACCAATTGAGAAAAAGTGCTAATACATGTCTTGCTTGCTTTTATTTGCCACTTCCAACCACTGGACAAGGTTCTGATTTCTGAATGAGATTTATTCATCTTCCTCCTTGTGACCATCTTCCAGTACCCTGATTATTTTCTCTAAGTGAATGGTCCCCGTTTCCTCAGTTGCTCCACAAGTAGTATGGTTTCTACATACTGCATAAGGCTTTTTTTTTGTCTGTGTCCTATGTGAACTGTTGCACAGAATATCAGACCCAATGCAAGTGATATATGACCCTCTTGTGGAGCTCAGACACCTGACACAGTCTTATCTGTTAAGCAATTACTCATTCTATTGTATTTTACAGATCATAGCAT